TCCAGAAATCTTTCTATATTTACCAAAAGGGATCCTCTTGTATGTTTTTCAGACATACATATACAGTACAAATATATATGATCATTATTATATTTGTGTATTTTTAGTTAAATCTAAAAGGAGAAAAAGCTGTTGGGGAGGTACTAAGCTGTGCAAGTGTGCTCATCCTCCTCGGTCTGATTTTGTATACCAGGTTTTGGTAGTACTGGTTTATTGTTAAACCATCATGCAATGTAACTAAAAATATCTCATAAGTATTTATTGGGAAATTACACCTTTATATTGGTGGCACACAAAGATTTTGCATCCACGTTACACAAATTACAAAAAGAAGATATAAATTGTAAACAAATAATGACAACTTTTTAAAAAATACATTAAAAACTGCAGTTCTCAGAGGCGGATCCAGCCGGTAAGAAAGAGGGGGGAATGAATGTCTGAACTAAGTGAGAGTCTCAGGAAATTAGAGCCCCTGGTAGGGGTTCAAGTGAAGATTCTCCCTTAAACCTCTAGCGCCTTCATTAATTAGAGTTGAAATTTGATTGATTTTTTAATATTTAGCATGGTAATTTTCTGATAAGCTTTGCAAAGCAATTTTTTACAAAGTAAAATAGAGGGGGTGTACGCCCCTTTAGGCCCCCCTCCCTCTAAATCCGCCACTGGTTCTTATCGAGTCACTACGTAGCTAGTGTGTATGTAGTGTGGTAGAAGGATTCACAGGTACTGTAGGATGGATACCTGACATGGGCCGCTACCTAAACACTCGCGGTTTTGTGGCCAAACAATGCAGTGACTTGTATTATTGGCAAATAATAGTTAAAAGAAGAAAAAACTACTCTAGACAAAGATGTATAAGTCACTGTATGTATAATCTATTTTAAGGAAATCAATAGACCCTTTTCAATGTGTACATTGCCCTAACTGGTAGGCAGTAGGATAGCAAAATACACTGTCTGGGTTATATTTATTTTTGTTGTGCAAAAAATATGGAAGCTACTCTACATGTTCATAATGGTGGACATAAAACCCTGTGTGTGTGTTTTGTCTATTAGTTTGGTATATATTTTTGCTATATCTGTAAACGATCAAATTATAGGCATCAACTTTGTTGGCTTTGGTCCCTCCACTGAATCACCCACTGACAGAAAAAGAATTGCAGATTTTTCCTCCATACGATACGGTCATATCTAGTTACTAAGCCGTTAGAGAAATACCCTAAAATGTTCAGCAACAGAAGCAGGCATAGAAAAATATTTTTGTGCCTCTGTCCATGAAAATTATCTTGATCAAATGCCTCCAGCACCAAATGTTATCTTTACACTATTATAGCTAAATAGTACATTTAGTGGTTTGGAGCATGCATAGATATCAAATCTAATTAGCGGTATGCATTAAATTGTGATGTGTAGAATTATATATTTTTTTTAAATGCTTCAAGGGTATTGGTCAATGCCTCTGACCGCTGGTCACGCACTTTTTCCAGTCCTGAACAGAGGGCAGCATTACTAAAACAAAGGGAGAAATTATCCTGTACCGTATACAGGCCTAGAATCCTAGGACAGTAAATTATACCATATGGGATATGGGTCACGACCTCAAAGGGTTAATAGACAAATAATTGATAAGGCATAACAAAATAAATATAAAATAAAAGAAATTTCAACTTGGCAATTATTAAACAACAAACAACTGCTGGAAATTCTAATTCTCTATTTTAATAATAAATATCTAATAATAGATATTCATCATATCTATTATTAGATACTCATCATATCTAATAATAGATAAGATGAATATTACTTAAATTATAAAATTTTATTTTCTCTTATTTTTCTAAACCATAAAAAATATGAAAAACCTACAAATTTACACTTTAGTATACAGTATATTTATTTTATTTAGCCCTCATATGCCTTTTTGCTTTTTTAAATAGTAATTGCTTGAGTCCTAGACGTAGGCCTTCACCTGTTATTGCTTCACAGGTTGACGGGGGTAAATGTGTTCCACTTCCTTGTTCTGTTTAGCTAGAAACCTATTTGTACCTGCAGAGTGGCCTACATTAATAGGTCTAATATTAACATAGATTATTTTCCCTAATCCTATAGGAAATAATTCAAGACGATCTTTGCATAATGTAGTCAAGTATCTGTTATTTTAGTGAACATAATTACAAAGAAAATCCCTTACCTTGTTATAGACACCAATTGAGACGACTATACATCTAGAATTTTCTTTTGCTGTGAAAATCCTTCCAGAGGGCAGCACTTCTAAATTCACGTGGATATCTAGATGAGTTAGTGTGTAGGGGAAGTATGACTTAGGCACCACTGGGAACATTGTTCAGATCTTTTTTAAATATGATTGAATGAACAAAGATCAATTTAAAATGGTAATTAAATTAATAAAATAACAAAAACTAATAGGAATGCCTTTAGGCGAGACCTTTTTTATACCTTGTTTTGCAAACTTTTTTTTTTAAAGGTCGTCAGAGGAGGGTGGAATAAAAATATTTTGTTTTCATATGTTTTTAAAAAAAAAACATCCAAATTTTATTGGTGAATGTAAACAGTGTAGTAATGCTTTAAATTTGTAAATAGACCTTTCCACTAAGGCCCGCCCCTTGGATATTCTTTTGAAACATACTCAGATGCGTTTCGTTGTTTTTAAGGTGTGCATGTATTCCTAGCGATGTTCTGATTGGTCATTTGTTAAGTTTGATTGACACTCCAGAAAGAGCTATCATATTTTTGGAGTTTTCAAGGCAGCAATGGGTGCAATAAAAATAATGTTTTTCAGACATACAAATTTATATAAATGTTTATATTTTTCAGGTATTCTGAAAGGAAAAAAGCTGTTAGAGGCAAGGAACTAACTGTACAAGATCTACTCAGTCGTCTTGGTTATGGTATTACTGGTCGACTGTTAAATCAACATGCAAGGTAGGTAAACATATTTCATAATAATTTTTTGTACTGTACTCTGTGTGTATTTACTATTATTTAACTAATGTCGGGCGCAATAGAATAAAAAAAAAAACATTAAAAAAATAATTGAAATACAATAAACAGAAACATGAACAAAACATTATACGCTAAATTCATATGATCAAATCAAAAGAGAAAGAAAATATTTTTTTTTAAATTGTAAAAATATAGTTTCCTCTGGAGCCTGGCTTTAACAGAGCAGAACTATAGGCTTAAATAAATAATTTTAGAACTGTACTAATATGGTAATACTTTACAATTTAATTATGAACAAAAATTTCCATGGAGAGTGCAAAGACTGTAGAATTAAATTTATTTTCTTAGTTAAAAAACTTTTGTATGCCCATATATGGCATTGATGTTCCTGTATATGGTATAATAAATTGTATAGGTGTAATTTTTGCCCTACCTGACGTGGAAATGTACCGAATACTCAGTACTGTACATTTGAAAACAACTGCGAAAAAAATCGCAAGTTGTTCTCGGGTGGGACTCGAACCCACGATCTCCAGATCACTAGCCTGGCATCATACCTCTAGACCACCGAGCTTGCGCCTGATGGCCAGAGTTGAATTCAGGTCCAAGTAAGCAGCGGGTACTGCAGTGTTGATAGTAATTGTTATTGTCGTGATGGAATAATAAACAATAACTGGATTTGCATCAGGAGAAACATGTATAGGTGTAATTTTTGCCCTACCTGACGTGTAAATGTCAATAAATGTAATAAATTACTATTCCATGCCATATAACACATTCAATACATAGAATGTTCTAGAACAGATTTATTTGATCAAACAATACAACTTTGGTTATTATAGGAAAACAAGAGACCATGTGGAATCCAAAGAAAGGTTTAGAAGGTTCTAGATACTGAAGTAATAGGCAATAAAACTCTTGGTAAATTATGATGTAATGTGACTAAAATGAAAACTTATGTAATATAGAAGGCTCTGGAATTGAGGCTTGTATATAAGATGATAGGTTCCAAAGTTAATTGTGTTATTTTGGTAAAAAGTTTATTTGAGAATTGTGTTTCAATTTTGTGAACACAGTGTTTATATTTTATATGTCAAACAGGAATTCCTAGTCATTTCTTACCGCTTGAAAATACATCACCGTACAGTAAGCTTGGTAAGTGGGCAAAATGCTATTATTACACTCTATCACAATGTAAATGAGAATATACACACGTTCATTCCGGAGTGATACCATTGCATTTTCAATTACATCAAACTAAAAAATTTCTGGGTTAATTCCAAGTTGTCACACCCCCTCCCCCAAAAATGCTTGAACCTGCCACAATCCATAAATGCATTAGGTGTTTCCTGTCTAGTTTTTTGGATGCAATGTATCTTGTAACAACAAAAATGAAAAGAAGACAGCATTGGCATTCAAGTAAGCATTTGGTTTTATTCATTAACTGAGAAGCATGTATTTATATCACAATTTTAATTGTGATTTAAAAACTGTTAAGGACAGTTTTCAATTTCCAGCATTTTTTGTGTGTAGCACAAACTGCTATGCACTTTTTGTGTTTTGTGTAGCAATTCCAAAATTGTGCATAGCATTTTTTTCTGCGGTGATAGTGAATGATTGTGAATTGAAAAGATGTGACACATATTTCAATAAGAAGTCACAATGATGCATTTTTTTTTTCAGCACTAAAAGTATTTAAGTAAAACAATGGTTTATGTACATGTAGGGAGCACTGTATGTGTGAACTATGATGTAAACAAGCATATTGCGCTATTTTTGGCCCAAAGCATTGGATAACAACTTGACTTTGACTGTTTTTAAAAAAAGTTTTTGGGACTTTTTTGCACCAAGCCTCTTAGCTTTTACACCCAGGCCTGGCTGAAGACTGAGTGGTTAATTCTAGGCAAATAATTGTGTTGCATTTGTGGAAGTGCTTTGCAATTTGTGTAAAACGTGTCACATTTTGCGATGCGATACTGTGTAAATCGAACACTGGTTAAGGAAAACAGATTCACAAATCATTTCATATATTTTACATTCAGATAACAAGTACAATTCTGTAAAGGACATGAAAGCATTGATAAGCAATTAGTATGACATTGTTCTACCAATAAGTAATTAATGTTATTAAAAGCAATTTGATAGCAAAGAATTAAAAGAAAATACTTTTATGAAGAATAAACTCTTTGAAAACTTTTTGATTTTGTTTTAAAAATCTTCTTTAATTTAAAAAGATGTATATCTTCTTGTCAAAGAGTATTTTATGAAACTGCATTAATCGATTGTACGTGAAATGGCAAAGAGCCCATAACATCTTAAACACAATAAGAAACTGATTTATACTTAGTTTCTATTTGTCTATCATATAAAACTTTTCAATATTTAAATTTTAAACACAATAGTTTGATTAAATAAGCTATAACTGAGCAGGTAGTAAAGTTAAATTTTGTATTTTTATGGTTTTGTTTAAAGGAATTTATCAGTTTGCACCTGAGCGGTAGTCTTATTTAACCTGCTAATCATGTTTAAAAGCATATTTACAGCATGTTACCAATACTTTTTTTTAAAGTATTGTAAAAGTAATGTTGACTGTGTTCTGTACATGTAACTTGATATTACATCTACTTTGTAAAACTATCAACATTTCTTACTTTTTTTAAATAAATGAAAACAAAATTGGTCTTTTTAAAAAAAGTTCAAATATTTAAAAGCTACTGAAAAAAAACAACTTGGCAATTACAGAGTATTAAATTTGAAAGACTCAGTACTCGTTAGGGTATTCAAGAATTCTTCTTCAAATTCTTGATATGAATTGTAAGTCTTTGGCAAATGGATCAAGTTAGCACAAGTATTTGCCCTAACAGCTCTTGCCAAGCCACTGTCAGCATTGAATTCAATTGTAATTGGTGTATCATGAGGAAGATTAGTAGACGAAGTAACATACAAAAGGAATCGTTCTGCCATGTTACTCTCATTGCAATGGGCTATAACAAATCTAGATAAAAAGCCATAAACTTTAGACTCATTTGATGTTAAAGATGATTTGGTTTTCAACTTATTTATAATGGAACAAGGTGTTGGATGCTCATTAATAATTTTTTCTGCTTCATCTACCGAATATGATTTACATCCACCCATTCTCTTACATCGTTTAAATTCATCTGCAACACTTCTACAAGCTGGCTTTTCAATCATATCTGAGTGTGCCAAATTGATTAGAACTTCTTGCCAATTACTATCATCAATGTTGACATGTAAGGCATTTGGAGTAAGATTATTAGATATTTTCTTGATAACTTCAAATAGGCCTTCTTTACTTTCACTAGACATGTTTTGCAAACTGTAATTTACTCCCGATAAGAGGATAGATTTTTCACTACTGCTTAATGGTAAATAATTTATATATGACTTAATTAGACATTCTTTATATTTTCTAACATCTTTTTCAGTTAACATTTCAAATATGAAAGCTTTGCAAATGAATGCAGGAAAGCCATCAGTTAACATGAAAGTGTGGTAAAGAACTCGGCCAAGCATTTTGGATTGCATGCCAGAAGTTCCTGGGATCAATTCTTTATCCCCTTCATACAACTGATATTTGCCTTGGATGTGGAATAATCTGAGGGCTTCTTTTGTAGGTCCGAGTCCAACTGCAGGCTCATCCTCAATCTTAATTCTGAGTGCATCAAGATCATTGTAACGGTACTTCTCAAGCTTATAAAGCTCTGAGAGGTAATTGTAAACAGATTCCCTTTTCAAAGTTATCTGTGAAAGTTGAAGAAAATTGAAAAAAAATATATTAATATGTATTTTTTTAGACATACAGTGTTAGAATCTTTAATTGCAAATTCACAGTGATAGGCTATACTGCTGTACGTTTATAATTTATTGTACTTTTATTTGTATGCATGCTTGAGTAATCTCTAATATTACGTAGTGAGGACTCCGCGTGAATAATTATGGATGCATGAAATTTCAGGTGTTAACTCATTATATGTTGTTGTTCGATAGAGATAGTTTTTTTCTTACTTTGTTGTGTTCGTTATACTAGAAAGACCACTTTGATTTATCAGCTATTCAGTTTGTTACTATCTTATACTTTGTTGCTGCATGCGAAAGCATTAAATCATGATCATTTAAACTTACTTTTTTGTTTTTGTTTAGCTGTATTTGAATCAATTGCCTTTGTTGCTTTAAAAGGAGTGTGGGCTCTACAAAATATTAACGTAGTGTAGGCTCCGATACATACAAGTTTATCTTACAGATTCAACTGATATTCAGATGCCCTCTTAATCAGTGGCGGACTGTCAAGCAAGCAAGGTATGCAGTGCAGTCTCCTATATACACCCTAATTTTTCAAGTGAATGCTATTCATTGGAATAGCAAAGTTTTTTAATATTTCGCCTACTTTGGTACCTACTGTAGGATAAGTCACAGTCGGGCCTACCGCATGGGTGGTCTTCGATATCATATCCAATCACATATTCAGTGAGTCAATGGGTGTCAGAGCATACCCTACAAAGCTTAAATTTGCTATTGTGACAACCGTGTGATGGCGTCAGAATAGCTAATTTAACACTGGAATGGAAGCCGTGCTTCCAAGAGTATATGCGCATGCTCTTCTCACAAATCGGGACCTCCACTGCCGATCGGGTATTCTATCTATAAGCCTAATCTGAATCAATTAAAGCTCAAATATATTTACATACACATGCATTGTATTTTGACTATAGTATGCAATCTAATTCTGTATAGTAGTAGGCTTTCTATCTCTAGCAGGCCCTAGCATCAGTGGCGGGTCTTGAAATGGAAGGGAGCTGATGGTGTTAGGAAGGTAAAGTGGAGGATCGGTGATTATGAGGAGATATTTAATTCATTATTTGTGGGTGGGGGTGCAGCTGGGGGATGGGTGAGTATTTTTTTTAGGGGTAGGGGAGGGCGTGCAGCCCCTTGTACATCTTGCCAATACCTAACATATCCTGCAATTTACCCTACGGTCCGCCACTGCTCTTAATAAATTAAATATTGTGGTGTTTCGTAAGTCTCAATATGTGTCTGGGAGTGGACATGTTTTTAGTTATGAAAAGAAATGCTGTGCTGTCAGGGAATTTGAACCTAGGACCATGAGATTGGAAAGTGTGCATCTCAAACACTAAGATATCTTCTCACTATGAAATATTGAATGTACTATATAAATGACCAAAAAAACAATGTGCTTGGATGTTTTGTATTATCTGACAGAATTAAAATAATACTTGTTGCAACAAGTCTTATATGTTTGCCATTTTAAGATTCAGATAAGTTAATGTAATAAGCCTCCAAAATGGTACTACTGTACCATTCTTATTTAGGCTACTACTTCTGTACCACTTATTACCTGACAGGGGCCCAGAGTTTTCAATAATCTACTATTAAAATTGATGTTAATAAATATGGTAATTTTAACAATGTAGGAAAATCTTGACAAATTGGTTATTTAATTACTGCAATTATCAGCTAAGTTCCAGATTGGTTGGAATAGAGTTGTAATATTTATATTCGGTACCTACCAGAGGCTCTATGTCTAAACCTTGGTTGAAACTGTCAGTTACATAGCTTACACGTCTTCCTACAAGTCCCAAATCATCCGAACTGTCTTGATAACCAAAAGAATCTCTCTAAGGATTGTCAACAAAACCAGTTATTAGTTATAATTATTATAGCATATGATATTCAGTATTAGATATGTAAATGAAGAAAATATCAAATATTTGGAAAACTGTTTTATTTTGACAGCTGAGAAAAAATATAGTAATTACAATAAGTGCCCAAATAAATGCCTCACCAAGCATTATTTTTCCTTCACTAATTGCTGCAGCATTTATTAGAAACAATTATATTTTAAACCTACCATAGGCTCTGTGTTGAAACCTTGGTTGAATCTTCCAGTTACATAACTGTGTCTTTGTTCAAGACCTAATTCATCCGAACTGTCAGCATCTCTCTGAGGATTGCAAACAAATCCAGTTATTATAATCAGTAGCAGAAAAATCCACATTCACTTGTTGCTTACGATTATATGACAAACAGTACTCTACTTTAATTTTTGCATACATGTCAGTTTGTTATCATCAAGACTAATTTTTATTTTAATACATTTTTAATACTTGTCTTTGCTTATTTTAAGACAATATAATAATAATAATAATATATTCATTTCCTCAAATACATCAGGGTGGATCCAAGGAGAAACAAGGTTCTTATAGCACCCCAAAACATAAAACACGTGACAGCAAGGATACCTTTTTACTTGGGTTTGATTTAACTATGTAAGAAAATATTAAAATTATCTATTATAATTATTATTTAATAGAATTTTTTTTTAATTATTCTTTTTATTTATTATTGATCAAGTAAGCACGATATTTGACCTCTTAATAAGAATACAATAACTGACATGCACCTTTTGGTCCTGTAATGTAAATGCATGAACATTGCATTGTAATCCTAAATTAAAATCTATTAGGTAACCCTTTCCAGTCGTATGGTGTCTTGACGACGCCCTCTTTGACCATACTATATATAGCGCGGTGCGTCGTACATACGCTCTTTATAGATATAATGCTAATTTTGTTATAGCTAGGCTGCCCTCGATAGGATTGATGTAGGAGTATTTCTGTAAAGGGCCTCCTACATTCAGACCAAATAGAATGCCTTAGCCCAGTAAAAACCCAACATTTAGTGTAGATGATGTAATTTCTCAACTTTGGTACAGCCTCAGGCAATGGTAATGGGACAGACTGGAAAGGGTTCATTAATGAAGAAAATATAATTTTACCGTAGAGGCACTGGGTGAAATGACATTGTGAAACTCATGGTTGTCTTCATTCTTCAACTCACTGTCGTCCACAAAACCTGAATCATCTGCTTCTGGTCTGTAAAGAAATATTATAATTTTTATAAGTTAATTGTGATGTCATTGAATCTCAATTATTTTCCTGTCCCAAAACACTAATTTTTCATTAATGTACTGGTATGTAATATTGCGCTGCAAGAAATTTTTTGTTTCTAGTCAATGGTGCTTAGCTAGCTAGTAAACAATGTGTGTCTGCAGAAAGTCAGGCTCTGGAAGAAAACATTTTTTTGATATGTTGTAGAACTGATTTTTCTGAGACAGAAAAAAATTGTTTGACGAAAATCTGAGCAATGGTGAATGAGATACAGATTTTTGAATATTTAAAAACTCTGGGTTCCCCAGTTTTTCGTCAAACAACTTTTTTCTGTCTCAGAAAAATTGTTTTCCCTCCGGAGCCTGATTTTAAAGTTTTCCTGGTTTTGGGCAAGTAGATCTGTAAAAAATGTATAAATTATCATACTTCAGCCAGACTATTAAATTTTTTGCACTTTTTGAGGGCCGCTTATTCAGACGCTTATGAAACCAGGGGGCTCTTATAAAAGAAAAAAATTGAAGGGTGCTTACTGGAACTTGGAAAATTCAATGGGCGCTTTTTGAATGAAAAATGGATTATTAATTGTACCCCATGAATGAACCCCATGAATGAAGTAACTATGTGTAGTCGAGTACAATTACCAGTACTATTTTCTGGACTCTCTCTCTTTACGAGTTTCTGTTAATCACAAAGGCAACCGGTGAAGTACGTGTGTGTTAAAATTGAGGTGGCTCTTATTCAAATTGGAAACTTTTTCAAACGAGGCATTTAAGAAAGTGAGTGGGGGGACAGTTTTTCACATGATTCATTGTCAATTTCTTGATTATATATTATATTATATTCTTTTTTTTTCAACTTACATATTTTCTTGTGGATCTTCAATTCCTGTGAGTTTCATTGCAAAGTTGATGTTCTCATAGTTTTCAACCATTCCAGCTATTAGAGGAGGTATGTAATCGCCTGTTGTTGGTGGTCCCCTCAGAGGTAAAGGTTCGATTTCATCAGTATCGCTGTAATGATAGTGTAAATGATTTTTATTGATCATTAGATTTCCAAGTATAGTTTTATATACAATACAGGCCCATAGCCAATGAGCAAAACACTTTTTTTTTTTAGAAAATCCTCATATTACCATTGTTTTTAATTTACTTTTTAGTTTCACATTTGCAACTTTTTCGTGTATATGGAAAAAGAAATGGACTTGTATAGCGCCTTACAGTAGGTACAATACATAATGTACAGGTAATCTGCAATGAAATATTTTTTTGTTTTTTAATGGAAGTTATAAGGTTCTTGTATTTTTTTTTTATTCTTAATTTTCTTTCTGTATTATTTTTATGGTATTCAGTACTAGTCACTGAATAGTTACATCCTAATTGAAGAAAGCTTAAAAATAAACACCTATCTCCTACATAATTTTCAACACTCGTCTGTCATATTATTCCTTTAAGCTGTGGCAGTCACTGCATCATACTATAGTCGACCGACAAACCCACTTTGCTCCGATGATTAGTGGCGGCAGTCTGAACGGATCATCATTAAAAGCAAATCTGATGTGCACACTTCATGGCAGTGCATCTCCATAGAATTGATATAAAACATGAAATAACTTTATATTTAAAAGTCTACAATGAAATAATATGTTATATTAAAACAATTAAGCATTAGCTAATATACAGACTTTTTACCATAAAAATTATTAAATATAAAATCAGGGCATTTCTTAGTGTCACAATATTAACACACAGTAGGAAAAAAAAGATAAAATAAAAAATAACAAAAGAACCTTTTAATAACTTTCATTATAACAAAAAAATGTTTCATTGCAGATTACATTATGTATTGTACATACTGCCTATCACAAAGTAACATTCCTAGATCTCAATATAGAAGAGTATGGTAGTTTTGAGATATTCTGGGATTAAGTATATCATGTTGACACGACATTCACGTTCTACTTATTTTATGTAGTGCTTTAATACACATTGGTAATACATTTCAATATTTCCTGTAACATAACTTACCTATTTAAACAAACATATAAGCCTTTATCTTGCATCTGAATTACTTCCTGTTATTCAGCAATATGCTAAAGGTCGGTTCTCAATCGTTCTTTTTAATCAACATATAATTTGCGTACTTACTGGTCAGATACCTCGGTGTATCTGTATTGTAAAAGCAATTGAATTCTTGAAAACTATACTGAGAAGTAGGCCTAAAGGGCCTACATAAAATGACAGTTATAAACTTACCTAGAATGCAGTATTTCTTCAGACAAATTAAAGTATTGTTCACCAGAGCTGTACTGTATGCCTTCACTGTTAGTCGCCATTTTGAAAAATAATGATATCACCTGACCTGCCCTATGACGTAAATTGTCTATTTCAAACGTTGAGGGCGTTAATCTTTTGTAATGATGATTTTGAAATTTGTATTATCACAGATCCTATGTACTGTACAGTATTAGGATCTGTGGTTTTATTGTATGACTCATATCTCGGTGGAACCCTCCACATTTGTGTGGGTGTATTATATTTCAGGTGATTGATCTAATACCCTGGATTTTCCTGGAACATCCAGGGTCTTATGTTGTTATTATCATCGAACACTTCATACCAATTAATTAGCCTTTTTTAGCTCATATGTTTTATCCATTATGTTGTATAAGGCCCATAAAATAATGATTAGTTTGTCATCCTATCTAGACTGGAAAAATAGCGAGGGAGGAGGGCTTTTTATTTTAATTTTTTTTTTGCTAAAGTCAAATAAGGTTATTTGCTGGTGCATTGATATTCAAATTAAGAAATGAATGAGATAATACAAACAATATCTACTATTTACTAAAAACAATGAACAATATGTAATACTTTTCAACAAAAAAAAATTTCCCCCCAAAATAAAAAAATTATTTTGATAAAACCAAATAACACCATTAGGTTGTCTGCTGGTGCATTGATACTCTAATTAAAACATGACTGATAATATAAACAATATCTACTATTTACTAATGACAGTGAACAAAATAATAATTTGTTTAAAAAAAAACATAAAATTTTGGTTTTTTTTCAATACCATAGAAAACATGCGCACAAGGGTGATATAATTTTTTTTTTATTCAGCCTAGCATTTTTTTTAAATATTTTTAGTAGAGTTCAGTATAGCTCAAGAAGTTAACATAATTTTTGAAATCCACCAGATTTTACATGCCAAAGAATGGGGAAGATTGGAAGGCTTTTTGCTTGTGGATTTTCCTTTCATTTAATAATAATGCAATAACATCAAATCATTGATTTATATTATATGCTACTATTTGTTTCCAGCTGTACCTTTGTGTTATAGAGTGTATCTGAGTGTTATTTGAATCTATGTAACACACCCTTTATAATACAATACAGTTGGTGTACCTACCTGTCATTTGGGGCCATTTTTCAGTGGCCTTTTTTCTTGGGCCATTTTTACATAAAGTCCATGTACAATAATAATATTCTATGTTTGAAAAGTGTGTAAAATAAGAACAAATTAAGAACATTTTGAGCCTGAAATCGGCCAAAAAATACTGACACTGAGTCTGGGTAAAATTTTACTTCAAATATTAGGACCAAAATCAAATACTGAAAATCGTCTGTTTTGATTTCTAGATCGCGGGAAATGAGCTTTCTCAACTTCTAATTTTTTCATTGTAGCAAAAACAATTTCAGCTCATGGGTCCTGAAAAGGTAGGTCTAGAATTTTTGTTTGTTTGTTTTTGCCCAATTGGGGGTCAGGACCCCCCAGATCCCTCACATCTGCCAGTGAGTTCACATATGTTACACAACATGGCAATTAAATATCAAGATTCACATACATATTAATTGCTTTAAAAACAATATGCAGGTAAGTTTATAGTGGACGGCCTCTCTCAGTTCAGCGATGAAGGACAGGTTGTCGACAAGTATACCATTTTTCACACACTGTACACTGCTTCAAGGTTGAAGCTTTTGCTGTAACTACAGCACTCTGTTCTGGCAAATGGCACGAAACACACACACACACACACACACTCAAGAAAGAGGCGAAGACCAAGTATTCATCTGGAGTAGATTTGGTTTATTAATACGATACAGGAATTATATTTTACACTGAATCTCCAATCCCAATTAGAATATTCGTATTTTTATCTCCGGTAAACTCCAGTTTAAGAGCAATTTTTAACTATATAACATCATTAATCCTAGCTGGCACTACTACCGTAAGTGACTGTAAGTATTATGCTGTATTGTGTAATTTGCATGTTTGTTCGGCTAAATAAAGAATGAATCCTACCTATCTGCATGATAAATTCTGAAGTACTGTATTTAAACACAATTATTTTATGAATTGAGTTACAAATTTTGTTAGGTACACCATTGAAGTTGAAACCTGTTCAATGATTGGCGTCAAAATGAAGTTATCAGCTTCGCACCTGATTTTGTAAACTCGGTATTTAATTTATCAAGTTACAAATCTTGTTAGGTAAACCAGTGAAGTTGAAACCTGTTCAATGATTGACGTCAAAATGAAGTTATCAGCTTCGCACCTGATTTTGTAAACTCGGGATTTAATTTATCATGTTTATAGTACATTTTCCTTTTTGTAAAATCCATTTTTGACTCTAGTCTAAAATGTCACTTAGATTACACCTATTTGCGTTTACTATCTGTATTTTTTAACCTTTATCTTTAAAAAGAACGCGAATAGAAGTGATATTTTAAGCAACTTCATCCGCTGTTGTATTACAGCACTTGCTTTCGGGTTTTCCTTTCTATCACCACCATTTTGATCCAGCTGCTCACCACTGTAATTGTAGTTTTCTTCACCATCCAATCCTGTGGTGCTCCAAACATATGGTATAAAGACTTTAGTACCAATTTTTTTTATGATATTCACCACGACTTGGCTGTACTTCCTGTTCGATCTGAAAGAAAATTATTTTTTAAAATGTGTTAGGACTTTATTCAAGTTAGTAATGAATAACAGATTTATGTTTAGTAATAGACTGCAAAATATTAAATTTTGTCACATTCACAAATCATTTGATTCACTTTTCAGAAATCTGGTAAGGTTTAAATAGTGTTTAACTACAGGTATATGTTTTTTTATGCAATTAAATAACGCATTACACATCAAATTGGTGTTGTCTTAGATATTGAGAAGCAAAGTTTGCACAGCAAAATGGATTGACAAAAGCGGTTGGTGCATGGTTGTGGCTTGGACTCCCAACCTTGAGGTCGGGGTTTCGTGATGTGCAATTCACTTGTGTTCTTGGGCAAGGCACTTTACCTACGGCCCTCTCCGCCCAGGAGAACAAGTGCCTGGTAGGTTGAAACACAACCATGTGCTGCTTACAGCTGAAACATTATGGAATTCTACAAAGGGCCTGTTCCATAATAATAATTTATAAAGCACACAAATCCACTGCGGTAGTGCTCAAGGTGCTACAGGAAAGAACCAAAAATTACCATGAACCAAGCTACAAGAAAAGAAACACCCGGCATGCCATCACCGCACCGTTTACAAGCAATTTAAGGTACATATGTGCATTAACAAAATTAAAATAAAATACAGACAAAATATTATTATTATGATAAGGGAGACCTTACAACAGTTGTATGCTAAATAAGAACAACAAATAGAGGTTGTTAAAAAAAAAAAGTAAATTAAAAAAACCAAAAAATCAAGCTAGTCACTCCAGTAAATTATTAATGTTTGAAAAGGTTATTTCAATAATTTACACCATTAACGTCATTAGATGTGAAGTTCCCTCACAAAATACTTGGCTAAGGCTTGAGCTGAAATTTTAAATCCTCCCTCAAATCTGCCATTCTCATACAGCATCTGTATGTTTAAGCCAAATGGTGTGAAATAAGAACAAAATAAGAACATTTTGAGCCTGAAATTGTTGAAAAATAAGAACACTGAGCCTGGGGAAAATAATAATAATAGTGTAGTTTTATATAGCCCACATATCCATCTAATGTAAGATGCTCATGGCGCTTGAAATGTGGACTCTGAACTCGACCAATGACTTTCTTCGTCCCTAAGGGTCCCTTCGTGTCTGTACTACCCGGTAACCCGGTACCAGCAACTCTCATCGTCCACCGCAGGGGCTGTCTGTTCCAGTACACCGGGGTAACCCCCTACTCGTCTCGAAGGATGTACAGGGTTCTTTATAGTGCACACGAGCCATTGTATACACTG